TGGATCCAGTGAATCTGTATTTGTTATAGGTACCCAAGTTAATTCTCATACACATAGTCTCTGGACCACTTTGTGAAAGATGACTTAGCTGGTGATTCTTTCTCTCCAACTTTTTCTCCTCCTCCTCCTGGGACACAAGTAATTTCATCAACTATTAAACTTCATCACAAAACTCTTCCTACCCCCCAAATGATTTCCTAATGGACAGAATTTCAGGTTCAGGAGGCAGAATGCCTGATTTATAGCAATGGACCCACCACTTCCTATCAATCAATCCAGGCCACATACATTGACCTACTTCCTCTTCTAAATTAAAATACTCTGTACCCTCCTTCCCTTGCAGATTTGTGTTGAAGATTAAATGTGGGAAAAGATATACAAATACTTTATACATTGTAGAGGATTTTTACAAAACTATGTAATCAAGTACTGGACTTAAAAACACTTCTGGTAAAATATTGGAGGTTCTTTTTAATGATGTTTTTAAAATTATCTTCATCATTGAAAGTATTACAGATGTCCCATTTCCTCCCCTTTACCTCCTCCACTTCACTCCTGCCCTCTCCCTAGGCCTTCACCACACTATTGTCTGTGTTCATGGGTTATGCATATATGCATATAACTTCTTTATTTAAACACTTCCTGTCCCCCCTCCCTCTGAAACATGTCAGTATGTGCATGCATCAATGTCTATTTTGTTTGTCAGTTTATTTTGTTACTTAGATTCCACATATAAGTGAGATCATGTGATACTTATGACTGGCCTATTTCACTTAGCAAAATACTACCCAGGTCCCTCCATACTGTCTCAAAAGTTAAGAGGTCCTTCTTTTATATAGCTGCATAGTATTACATCATGTAAATGTACCACAGGTGTTTTATCTATTCATCTATTGATGGGCACTTGGGGTGTGCACAGATCTTGACTATTATAAATAATGCCGCTATGAATATAGGGGTGCATATATTCTTCCTGATTATGTTTCAGGCTTCTTAGGATATATTCCTAGAAGTGTTTAATGATGTTTTGCATCAGGGATTTTGAGCGACTCTGCCAATGTTTCTGAGCAAGCATATGTTTGAGGAGAGACAGTTGTGATCTCGCTGCATGTTAAGTGGTGGCATCTCACCCCTATCCTCTCCTACCCAGATACACTTAACAGCTTTGCAGTGTAATTTCACAGATTCAGAAATGGAGGCCTTTCATATCCTTTAATACAAATCCAAAAATTACACCCCCTTGTGTCTCCAGTGAAACTTCTTCCCTCCAACACAGAATACAAAGTATCAGATCCTAACAATAGAATATTAAAAGCCAAATTTGAAGCAATTACCCGCAGCTTTGGAGAGCAGTCCCACACACAGCTGGTGCCCAATCAGAAGGTTTGTTTCTGTCACCCACCATCTCTGCTGCTCACACAATCAGAATGTCAGAGTTGCAAAGGATCTTATAGATAATCCTCCTCCTCATTTAAAAAAATGAGCAAGGGAGGCACAGGGAAGGGATTAAGTCATCAGAGTCACCCATGGCGGGAGGCTAACAAGGCATTAAGTTCCGGCCTCCCGTTGACTGCTCACATTGCTGCTCTCAGCAGCTTCCTTGGCTGAGTCAGTAGGGTGACCTTGCAGTTGAAAGGGAAAGGGGTTCATTTGATGTCACATGCACTGAACGTGATCTGTTGTATTGGAAGTTGGTCTCTTGGAGTGCAGCATATTATGGGGCCATAATTTTGTAACTTGAATGCAGATGACATTAAACTGTTGTGTTAACAATTAGATCGATACATTAGTGTAAGTTGAGAATGACACAGGATGACCAGGACACAAGATTACAGTGTTGTTATTTTCAAGTCCCCATTTGTCCTGTCCAGAGAGAGTTGGTTGTGAGTTCTCCATGGGTTTGAGGCTGGGCCATTGTCCTTCTTTCTCCATGACTCACTCCTCTCTTTGATAAAGGCTAAATTGATGTATCCTGAATAAAAAGAAGTGACACCAGGCACCCATGAGCAAGTCCACAGTAATATCAGTCTTTTATTTTTTGTAGCTATTTTAAAGCCTTTGTTATATTTATTTTTCTTATTTATCATGTATAAACCTTTTAAAAAATACATAACTTATTAGGGTGACCTTGGTTAATAAAATTATATAGATTTTAGGTGTATAATTCTCTAATACATCATCTGTATTATTGTAGTGTATGTTCACTGCCCAAAATCAAGTCTTCTTCCTTCACCATTTACTCCTCACCCCTTACCCTCTTCTACTTGCCCCCAAGCCTTTCCTCTGGTAATTACCATACTATTGTCTGTGTCTGCCTTTATTTGAATCTCTGCCAAGACGATATGAGACAGCTAATATAGCCTTTTAGAAACACTTTTCAAAGAACCTTCCTATAGCTCTGGAGCCTTCTGCACACCCAAGTCTGTGGCTCTTCCTGCCTTGTCCTCCATGCTTACTTCCTGTCTTTGCTATGTTTATTAGCCTAGGTTTTTCCCTCTGACTCTGTCCTCCCTCAATTCCTTCTGCCTCTGCAGGGTTGAGTTTCTGTTCGCCTAGCCTCCCCAGTTCTGCATCACAGGAAACATGCCACTTGGCAAAGTTCTTGCATTAGTGGGCAGGGGTGTTAGTAGGAGGGCGCTATGTCAACGTCTCAGTCACACTGTGTTTCAGTGAAAAGGGGGCATGTCACACTGTAGGCTTCCCAGAGATGGAATAGATAAAATATGTGCCCTGTACATGTTTCTTTTACCCTAAAATTCATCATAATAGGACAAGAAGATGTTAGAGACAGAAGGACCTGAGCCTGGGACTTGGCAGAGGTAATTCTCAAGGTGACTAGTGACAAGATACCAGGACAATTAAAAGCACCGACTTGGGTATTAAAAAAATGACCTAGCTGAAACTGGTTTGGCTCAGTGGTAGAGCATCGGTCTGCGGACTGAAAGGTCCCAGGTTTGATTCCTGTCAGGGGCATGTACATTGGTTGCGGGCACAGGGGGTATGCAGGGGGCAGCTGGTCGGTCGTTTCTCTCTCATCCGTGTTTCTAGCTCTCTATCTCTCTCCCTTCCTCTCTGTAAAAAAAATCAATAAAATACATATTTTTTAAAAATGACTTAAATATAAAGTCTGATCCTGCCATTTTTTAATTGAGTAAAATTGGAAAAATTATTTAAACTCTGAAACTCAGTTTCTTTATCTGTTAAAGAGGCATAAAATGCATGAATTAATGCCTAACACACAGATACCACACTAATGGGAGGGGGTTTTATTGTTGATAATGATGATAATAATTATTTTGGGCCAATGAGAAATAGAAACCCTTCCTCCCTTGCTTACTTTCTGTTCATCCTTTGTTTTCCTTTTAATGGATATTTTCAATGAGACAGATAAAATGTGTGTGTGTGTGTGTGTGTGTGTGTGTGTGTGTGTGTGTGTCGGGGGTTATGTAAAGACATGAGGTCGCATTTTGAGTATATAGTGAATGTATACTTGAGAATAGCACATAGAAAATCTGGAAGAGAAAGTGTGTAACCAAGGATGAATCAAAAGCTATAATATGTTCAGAGCAAGTTGCCAACCCAGAAATAGTTGGATCTCATTATTTATGGAAGAAATCTTACATATTCTGCTACAATAAGAATAGTCTTCTAACTGGACACGAGAGAACATTATGAGGAGAAAGTTGCTGTCCAGGATTGGTGGAAAACATTTAACTGTCTCTGAGCCAAAGAGTATTATATCTCAGGGGATTAAAGGAACTGGTGGATCGGACCTCTGGCTGGTGCTCTGTTGAGGACTAGGGAAATGAGGCTAGCCTGGAGACCAGTAAATATTGACCAAGTTATTAAAGGCATACCAAAAGCTAGACTCGGGAAACTATAGGATCATAGCTTGAAGTAGACCTTGCCAAAATTCTAGAACAATTATAACACAAACCATTTGTGAGCAAGAGTCACTGTTATTTCATTAAAATTAATCATGCCAACTAATTTCATTATCCATTAGGACATGTTTACTTACTGCTTGGCATTAGAGATGTTTCAGCAAGGCACTGGACAAAGTCTTGCATGGGTGGGCCCAGTCGCAACCTGTCCTAGTGAACTCTCTGTTTCATCCTGTCCTGATCAATAGTTGTTTTATCTTGACCTAAAAGGCAGATGACACTAAACTGAAAGATCTAGGCAGCAATATATTATCTGACCTCCCTATGTGCTTGTTAAACCCTCAAAGTCTAGTTTGAGTTGATGCTAAATAATCGCATCTTGAATGTTGAAATTGTTGTGATTTGGAATGATCTCAATCAGCTAAAATGATACCAGATCGATAAAATGACATTTACCGGAGACACATGTCATGTCCTATAATGTGGCTCAACCAAACAACACAAACTGCATCAACGTGTAATAAAGAACCATAGGAATGGACAACTGTTTGTATCAAAAACATGCACGTGGGCCACGAAGTCCATGTAAGCCCAGAATATATTGCCATAGTCAGAGATGAACTTAGTGCCGGTCACTGTCATGGAAGTGAACTAAACCAATGACCGGAAGTGCCTGGTGTATCAGGCTCACTGTGCCAATCTTTGCTTTTTCCTGGCACCTTGTTTCATAAAATTCGGGTTGTGTTCAGAGGACAGTGTTCATTTTCGGGACTGTTCTGGCAGCCAAAATATACTATGAACCATTAGAGAAATGTGTAGCCTGGAGAGAGAAAACTTGGAGGATATAATTAGTAGAGGAGAGAATTTTAAGTGGGCCTGAAGGGCATCATAGTTCCACTAGGAAGACAAATTTGGGCTAATAACACCAGCAGGCTCTTTCACTAAAGGTGCTCAAAAATAATGTGTCCTGGCCAGTTGCTGGGGATTCCTCCTTAGGCTGACCAACCATGAGTCTGCATGGTACGGGGGCTTTCCTGCACTGGGGGGGCTCCTTCCCGAAGTCCTCTGTGACGTCCATTCCAAATCCGAGGTTCTGTGGTCTTCTCCCCTCTCCAGGGATGCGGTGGAAGGTGGTGTCCAATGGGAGAGTCAGTGCCACCCCCCAGCGACTTCTCCTTTGATGGCTGCTCAGCCCAGTGACACTTAGTCCCTGGGCTAGTGACTCAGAAGACAGCCACCCCTCCGAGCGAGGGCCAGATCCTAAGCTGCTGCTTGTGCGTGACTGCGCCTGGCATCCTCCTCATCCAAGCGTTCCATCCGTCTGTCCGTCGGGGGCAGGCACCCAGGCCACCGGGCTTTTCCTCCGGGATTCCAGCAGGCAGCGTTTGAGGGGGTCAGAGGAGAGGATGCCCCCCCCCCCCCTGTTCACTGTGGGTTCTCTTCCAGAGATGCCCCTGTGAAGGGATTTTCATTTCCCAGTATTCCTTTCTGGCGTCCTGCCCTTGCTGCATAGTGTCTGTTGTCGCCAGTCTGTCCCTTTACTGTGCCTGGTCGGCCCCACTCATGTTCCAAACACGGTCACTCACTGTGTCCTATCTCAGCCGTAGGGTCGCTAAATATGCCTTCTTGGCTCTGTGCCTGCTCACAGACCAATGTGTCACTCCCTTTCACTCCCTCCCTCCCCCCTTGCCCACCCCATGCCTGTTGGTCAGAGTCGTTCGTGTTCAAAAGCACACAATGCTCACTTGTTCAAACTATTCACTGTCTCATCTCATCCTGTTCTGTGCCAGCCACTACTACACTTCCCTCCCGGGCTCCGGGTCCCAGTGTGTCCTTCCGGCCAGGCCCCATGTCAGTCGCAGACTTCATCTGCTCTTCCCTGTATCCTGTGTCAGTCCTCTCCAGGACACGCTCCATTTATTTCCCGTGGAAGAAACTGGGGCAAAGATTGACCCAAGGAAAACAGTCTCCGCAGCAACCTTGGAGGGAAGCCGAAGACAGACAGCTTGCCCCAGATCCCTGGCCTCAGCCCCTTCTGCTTCGAGATGCCTGCCTTGCTCTACAACTAGAGCAGCGTCTTGTCCTAGGGGTCCTTGGGCAGGGCCCGCGACATCATAGTGTTTATGAAAAGACTTTGGAATCTTTCCTGTGAGCTTGTGGTGAGGCCCAGGATACAAATTTGTAACCCTGGATTCTGGCCGTGTTTCTTCCAAAGGAGAGACTATTGGGAGCTCATACTGCTGAGACCTGTCACAATCTGCTGTCCCCCACGGAGGAGGCAGAACCAAGCAGTGCCAGGGGTGCAAAAACAGTGCTTGACTTGAAGGCTGAGGACCCGGATTCCAGCCGAGGCTCTGCTCCTAATAGGCTGTGAGATCTTGATCCAACCCTTCCATCACTTTCTACGTCTGTCATTTGAAGCTTGGACTAGGGGATCTCTAGGATTCCTCTCCATTTCTAGGACAACAGGATGCAGCTATCGTCATCTGCTACCTCGAAAAGCCATGGCTGGCCTGCCTTTTGTCTGTTTCAAAGGGAGCTAGCTTTGGGTCTTCTAGCCCCTTGACCTTGCAGCTTTGCCCTTCAGAGTCACCTGACTGTCTCTCATCCCAAGCCGTCCATGGAATGAACTGCCCCGGAGTGAATGTCACAAAGAAGTAAACGCCATCATGCCCTGTTCTTGGCTGTGATATGATAGTTTCTCAGGACTTTGTCACACTCACTTTGTTCCCGCTGCTTAAGAAGAGTCAGTTACCATTCCTGTTGATTTTTTACTTTAGTCTTGGAATTGAACCAGAAAGGAAAGACTTTGAAATGAGGAAGAGGAAATTGCCCCCAAACCATCCACATGCAAAACAAGAAAAGAAAGAAATCTGTCCTGTGAAGACTTCATTTTCCTGGGGGAAAGTCACGCCTGAGGGAAGGGGAAAACCTCTCAAGAGAAGTGTCCTTTGGAACTCCGGAGTGTTGCTGAAAAATACTGAATCATGCTGAGATGCTCTGTGGGAGGCTGGGCTTCTCGCTGGTCCATGGAGCAGATTCAATTGGGAATCTAGTCTCATCACACGTCAAGAAAGTTTATGTTGTACCTTGCACCCTGACTGGTTAGACCAACCTGCTTTGCTTTTTCAAGTCACTGTCATCTGCCTTTACTAGATTGGGACTCAGGACCGTTTCGAGGATGATCCTTTTCTAACACAAAGAAGGGAACAGTAAGGTTCTGAGTCCCAGGTCGAGAACCTGCCCATCAGACTCCTGCTGTCTGCTCTGATGCTGCCACGCTGCCCACGCACATGGGAGCACACGCACATGAGGCAGTGGCTGACTTCCTGCGTGACCCAGAGCACACGCACATGAGGCAGTGGCTGACTTCCTGCGTGACCCTGAACTAAGAGCTGGGCCTCTCTGGACGCGGAGAGACTCTCTTCTGCCTACATCACAAAGTTATTGTGATAAACAATGTTGGTGAAAACATTCTGTGAATCATAAAATGCCAGCCTGTATGTTGATTATTACTTTGGATGTCACTGAGCTCCCTAAGACTCAGAATTTCTTCACAAGAGGTGATCCGATTTAGAGAATGAGCCCTCTGTATTGAAAAACAATGCCAAGGGAGCACCTTTTGGGGGTCCATTCTTCCAAATCCACCCTTCCTCGTTTGGTTACTCCAGGTTTTGCAACCCATGCAAAGTTTCAGGTTTATACATCACAAACCCTATATGTATTAGGATTTTGTTGTTCTCAAAATAAAGGAATGGTTGGAGAGAGATGAGGACTAATTTGGTAAGAATGAGCCTAACTTCAAGTAACTTCAAAGTCACATGGAATAAATTCAAAAGGCCTCTCTGCCTTGAAAACATTTATTTGGAGGGAAAAGGTCATTAAAATTTTATATATAAATTTTGTGGAAAAACAAAACAAAACACACAAAAAGTCTCAAACATGGACCAGACTGTGAATGAACAGCTGACAATTATCCATAGTAATAAAAGGGTGATATGCTAATTTGACCAGATGTCCTTCTGGGCATCATTTTGGATGTCTTTCCAGACAAAGCTGGGGCTTGAGTGAAGTAGCCTGGGTCCTGGGTGCTAGAAGGAAGCTGGTGCAGGCAGCTAGGGGAAGGAAGGCCTACTTTTGCATAGATTTTCATGCATCAGGCCTCTAGTATATATAGATATATATATATAAAAGCCTAAGTGACTGAATGACCAGTTGCTATGATGCACACTGACCATCAACAGTCAGATGCTTAATGCAGGAGCTGCCCCCTGGTGGCAGTGTGCTCCCACAGCCAACCTCCTGCAGTCCCTCCCGCCAGCTGGCCACCCCCCACTTTGATTGGCCCTGATCACTGGCCAGGCCAAGGGACCTCACCCGTGCACAAATTCGTGCGCCGGGCCTCTAGTGTTACATAAAGAATCTGCTAAGATACGGAACCGGATAACTTTTTTTTATTGTTGACAGTATTCCAGATATCCCCTATCTCTTCCCCCTTTAAGAACCAGATATCTTTTGAGATTCTTGCTATTGATAGCCTGTGAAAATGATTATTAATTACAGTTTAATGTTATTTTGCTAGCACCTTAATTTTGTTTACATTTTTAATAAAGTCGAATTACAAGTGAGGCCACATGTATGGGTCACAGTGCACTGAGTCTCCTTGTAATCAGCATGTAAATTATATGAATGCCCCCTATATTGAACATGGGACTTAATTATGTAATTACAAATGATCATACATTTTAATGATGGCTGTATCTTTGGTCTTATGAAATTGTAAGTTATACCTATGATTTATTTGGAACTAAAAGTTTGAAGGTACTGGAATCCTTGAGTCAGATTTGTTTCTGTGGGAAGCACCTCTGGCTTGACGATGATAGCCTTTTTTGATGCAGTTCCCAGGAATATGTTCTGGGGAAAACAGGAGCCCACAGACTTGTGTGTGTGTTTTTTTTATTGAGAAATTCTATTTATTGATAAACATTAATAAATTACATATATGTTTACATCTGTACATTCTGTGTGGTTATTATATACATTACATACTGCAGGAAATCTTAAGTCTTAAAATGAATAAATGACTTCTGAATACATGATAAAATGCCAGCGTCGTCCGTCTGTGCCTCAGTTCTCTGGAGCTTCACATGAAGTGCCATAGACAAGACTCATCCTCAGGAACTCTGGTTGTTTGAAGTTGGGGAATATTCTGCCTCCAGTACCAGGTTCTCCTCAAGGTAGAGCTGGAAGCCCCGGATCGCTAGATAATGATTCTTCCTTTCTGTCTGCCTGCCATGTTCGTCAGCACCTCCTGGGCGGCTATGACAGCTCTCTGCCAACGTCATCCCAAGAGCAGAGGATGAGCCAGCCTGGTCACTCCCAGGGTGCACACCATGCAGCCATTGCAGGCGGCGAGGCATCTGCCCATTCACAGGTTCAGGATTGAGGTTAAGTATGTGCCTCCTCGCTGAGGCCTTTTTTGGTGTCATGAGCCACCCAGGAGCCTGGAGTCCAGCTCCCTTTCCCTGGCGCCCCTGGGGCATTAGGCTTACAATGTATTACTTTTTAGTACAATGGGGCCAGTAGAAAGGCCCCCATTGGCAGCCAGGGGCAGGTTTCATGTCCCAGCTCTTCTGTTTAACCTGTGGGGCCTCCATCATCCACATAGAAAATGCAGAGGGTGGTCAAGAATTAGGGTATCAAATCAGAATCCTTCATACACAAATATGCCTGGAACCCCGTTGTACATGGGCTGAAATAGGGTGGGGCTCAGGTCTGGACCCTCCATCTCCACTCATTATAATTGATCCTGGAAGAAGCCTTCTTCACAGATGATAATCCTAAAACTCTGGACCAAGCACTCTTCTCCAGAAGTGGTGATTGGTTTTCCCTCCTCCTTAGTTTTTCTAAAAAATTCACAAGGGCTCTGTGAGCTTTTTATCTAGAGGCATGTCCTCAGAATCACAACTGTCCACTGATTTATAAAACCTCTTCCTCCTACAAAAAAAAATTTAAAAAAATAAATAAATAAACAAACACCTACTTTCCTGAAACTTCCATCATAGAATGAGTCTGAGCCTTCACTCCCCCTCCACCAATTTCCCCCTTCTTCTGTTTCCAGGCAGAGATCTAGACCTCGGGCAGTCAACCACCCAGCTTAGCGTTACTGTCTCCGTTCTTGCTTTCTTTCCAAATTGTCTTTCTTCACTTTGGAGCAGCCATTCTCCCATCCCATCCCAGGGCAAGAACCTGGCATTGATTCAGTACTGGCTGTGGGCTGAGTAGGTTTATTTGTTACACAGTTTAATTTTACCAACAGCACTCCAGTGTTCACAGGAGTTTGCTTTTTGCACATCTATGTGCCAGAGATTAATAACTTATTAACACTGCCAACGTGTGTCTCTCTCTCATTGGGAACCAGGAAGTAAGCCAGGAGATGTACCTATGTGAATGCTGTAAGTTTAGATGCTCACCAGGGCTGTACAGAACATCACAAATAGGGATGGGGCTGAGGTTCGCTTGTTATGAGGGGTAGGTAGTCAGGGAAAGCTGCATGGAATGGGCTTGGCCCTGTGACCTGGGACAAGGATACTGGTGAGTAGTCAGCCAGGCATTGATGGGAAGAACATAACGTTATTCAGAGGGACCAGAAAACACAAGGTTCTGAGGGGGAAATGAGCTAGGCGTGTGTGGCTGGTGCTCAGTGGATGTGGTGGGAGGTTGCATCAAAGAAATAAGTAAAGCTGTTAATAATTCAGTAGCATTGCATACTATTGATAGTTACTCCCTATGTGCAGGGCTTGGTGGGGAGCATTTTATGTGGAACTCCGGGGGTAAGTATTTTTCCATTGTATAGATAAAGCCACTGAGCTGCACAGCAGAGCAGTGACATGGTGTTTCCCCCTAAGGAGACGTGTCTCTTTTCTATATGCTGAAAATGTCCATGTGGCATTTACCAAGACAGCACAAGGACACAGATTACCTGGAGCTGGAAATGGAACCCGGGCCACACCAAACCCAGCCTCTCTCCCCTCCACATCACTTGCTGAGGGAACTCAATTCACCGGAGGCTCATTATCTTTAGCAGCAAGTACCCTCCTTGAAACAGATGGATTCTCTTGCAAATCTGTCCCCCTCTCCCTCCCTTCTTTCTTGGTGGAGTATTGGCTGTCTCTAAACAAAGATGCATTTCCACAGAGGTCCTTCATCAATTTTCAATAAGTAATACCAAGTAGCATCTAATTAGGAGTAAACACCAATTAATTCTTGGCCAGAAAGTGGTTTGCTATTAAAACTATTCGTTTTATCAAACATAAAGGCAAATCAATTTGGCGATGTAATGCATTTCCTTATCTCCATCCTTCCTGACGTCATCCTTCTGCCATGGATGTTATCTTTTCTCCGGACTGAGCCTTTAGGCTGTGATACAAACTCTGAGTGTGCCATTTCTTGATGGAAATCCCCACCTTGCCTATAAAATCCTGGGCTTTCCATCGTTCTAAGTCTGCTATTCACAGCTTTGCCTCCAGCTTTTCCCCTTTATCCCTGCAGAGCAAATGCTATGCACTTTCTCCTTGCATTTTCACCTTCAGTCTATTGGCCTCACTTTCTTTCCACTAGACATCCATCTCTCAGAGTCTCTTACGAAGTCCATCTCAAATGCCGCCTTCTTTTTGAAGTCTTTGCCAGCCTTCAGGACAGCAAGTGGTTTTGGGCCTCTTTCAGGCCCCAAAGCACCTCAGTTGTCCTTCTCTAAGGGCTTCTCCAGGGGCTTCCTTAATCTTGCCCTTTCTGAGCTTCCCTACCAGGTTTGGGGCTCCTGGAGGATAGGAACCGATTCTAGGGATTTTTTTATTTTTTTTCTCATGGCTC